ATATAAAACAAGTGTGCTGTTTGGTAGGGGTGGGAAAAAATATCAATTCATCATTGCATTGCAATAAATATTTACCCCCACTTTAATATTATTTCAGAAAATCCTGATTCAGTTCAATCCTCTGGCCAGTTTGTCCTGTTTTTAGGTCTACACTCCATGTTTAGAAGAAGTGTGCTCCAGCTTTTCAGATATTTTATTTCTTAAAAATGTTAATGCATACCATTTCTGATTATTTGGGCAAGAAAATAAGCATCTGTTTTTTCACAAGAACTCACCAGGATTCTTATTATTAGGATGATGTTGAAGCATTTAAAGCAAGATCAAGTTGTGACCCTAAGAACTGAGGTCTAATTTGAATGGGGAGGTTTTTAACAATACACATCCCTACTGTTGTGTTGCCTCATTCAGTGTGAGCTACACAAAGCTGTTTTGAGTGTATACAAGGCTTATCATTAGCTGACCAATCTGCTTTAACCTGTGATGTCTCTGAGTCATGTCCAGGTTGGAATCAAACCCCTGCTTAGGTCAGCTATGGCATTCCCTGTGTTGACCTTTTTTTTTTTCCACAGATAATGCTGTTCATGCTTGAAGTCTGTATTTTGTGATGCATTGTGGTGTAGATATAATCATGACTACCGGAATGTTGTAATACACTTAGTCTAAACAGTGTTCATACCTAACTGTTTTTCAGCTGTGCTCGGAAGTCATTTGGACATCCGACAGTGTAGCACGATGAGCATAATTTGCTATCACAATGTAAAATACCAATCAAACTCATTTACGAATGTTGGGTATTAAAGACAACAAACAAACAGGCGTAAAGGACCAAAAGACTTGAGTTGAACGCCAACCTTGAATACAGGAAATAGCTATGAACGTCTGGTTTTACACAAGTGCGTTAGTAAAAAGGTCAGTGGGAGCTGAGCATCATTGTTAAACATAAACAACAGAATTGAGATATGAGGGTAAAACTGTTTATTGTTAGAGACCGATCAACCAGGTCAATGGCCGATGGCCATTTGATTGTGTGGTTTTCAGGATTTCCAAGTTGTCTGGAGAAGTCTGGAATTTTAATTTGAGTATTTTCCAGGTCTAAATAAGATTTTCATAAAAGATACTTAAAAACATAACAGTGCTTTGATCATTTTCAGGCCTTGATAAAGGAGGAGAGTCCATGTCCACCTGAGGGTCTAAAAATGATAGAAACAATGGGTAAGTCTATATTTTCTTTCTTTATTTTTAATTATTTCAACTTTATTTACATGACAGTTGAAATCAGTAGGTTTATCTGTAGATACTGGTTTATAATGCTGTAATTGGTTTGCACCTATGGGTGTTTAGGGCTACAGCGAAAAGTTGTCTGACTCTTCTTTTTATAAGTGAATAAACACGTTTGCTTTGGTCACCTAGCTTTCTTTGCTGACTCTGCGCCCTACATGCCGAGTTTCTCAAAGCAGCGGAAAAGACTCAGACTGCAGTTCAARGCCTGTCTGCTTTGTCCAAATATGAACATTTTGGTCCTCTAAAGAGCGTCCCTTATCTTTGAGGTGTATGTGCACAAAAAATGGTATTTTGAAAACAAATTGTTCATTGTTTCAATCATTCAGCTTGAAAAATCCCAATATAGTGTTTATGTACTGTATTTATATTGTGGAAATTAACGGTGTCCCTATACCAGTTTTTTTTTCAAACCAAGTCTGAGTACTTTAGTTTGGGTACTCGCCAAAACAGAATACAAATACAGAGTACTTACTGAGTTAGAAACTAAACATTACACAATGCCTGCCCTTCTTTTATGTAGAACAATGTGTCTTCTTCCTTTTAGGCTTGCTGGATAAAATGATATATACAGCATGATATACTGTTTCAACATTTTAAAGTAAATAAAAATACTTTCAACTTTTTCAATGGAACATACAAACTTTTCATTTAGAATGTAAACACATTTAATTGTGAATCATATACAGTAACAATACCCTTATCATACCTTTATGATACGGGTATTGTTACCCTGTGTTATTTAATTGTTAATTATATTGGGGCATTTGGAACAAGTTCGAGCACTTGCAAAAATATCTGGTTTTTGGGACTAAGTTTTCCTGACCAACACTTTTATTTATGCTTGAAAATACCACAAATCTATGTAAATACCGAGGGGATGCACTGATGGCTGTTTTCTGGCCAATCACCGATCTTTAAAAAAGCCCACCCTGTTATAAGGTCACAATAAACTTTCAATGTTTCAGTCTTATTTTATTGAGAAACATCAAACAATACCCTTGACAAATTAGAAACATGTCTTAACTGGACACGAGGTAGTGCTCATAAAAGAGCAAAAGGGGACAGTGACTGATTTTCAGACCTTTGCAGAGGAAGATATATACATTTATTTGTATAGCACCTTTCAAAACACAGTTACAACCTGCTTTACATCATATAGTAAAATCAAAACACATAAGATACATAGAATAAAAATTTTTTTAATAAAAAATAAAACGTGCAACAATCAACAATTAAAAGCCAGCTCATAATAATATGTTTTTAAAAGAGTTTTAAAAGAGGACAATGAAAAGGCTTGCCTGATGTCTCAAGATGAGATTGGTGGATAAGATCGGCTTGTCATGTAAGTATTGGTCGATTGCCAATCTCCCAGAATTAAGGAAATTGGGCCACATTTATCAGTGCACCTCTATAAATACCAGTATAATACAAAAATAGAAGAGCTGTAAAGGTTTAGAAGAGAGTATTCATTTTATGAGATTAGATTTGTTTTACAGGGGTTAGACAATGAAACTGAAACACCTGTCTTTTTAGTGTGGGAGGTTTCATGGCTAAATTGGACCAGCCTGGTGGTCAATCTTCGTTAATTGCACATTGCACTAGTAAGAGCAGAGTGTGAAAGTTCAATTAACAGGGTAAGAGCACAGTTTTGCTCAAAATATTGCAATGCACACAACATTATGGGTGACATACCAGAGTTCAATAGAGGACAAATTATTGGTGCACGTCTTGCTGGTGCATCTGTGACCAAGACAGCAAGTCTTTGTGATGTATCAAGAGCCACGATATCCAGGGTAATGTCAGCATAGCACCAAGAAGGACCAACCACATCCAACAGGATTAACTGTGGACGCAAGAGGAAGCTGTCTGAAAGGGATGTTATGGTCTAAAACCAGGTGTTTCAGTTTCATTGTCTAACCCCTGTAGATCGGCAGTGGTCCATTAGCTCGTCTACTTGGTCAGAGTTTGTCCAAACTGTGGTTGTACAAAGAGCTATCACTGAACCAATTTCAAAAGACTCTAACTGTTGTTTTTAAAGCTGTCCAGCCAAGATGCTAGCAGCCATAGCATCAAGGCTTTGATACCGGACTCTCCAGAACCGAGCCTGTACAAGTTTTAACTTGCATTGCAGCTCACTTTTAAAGGAGCACGATGAAATCTCGGCGATGACCTTAAGCATCACTTATTTGCCGTGTTTTATTTTTAGGTCCGCACTGCGTTCAGGTGCAAACAAATACACAAGAGCTACATGTCACGGTCTGGTAGGTCTCCTCATTATCCACACTGAAGCAGAGGCAGTGCTAGTGACACAGTTGTGCGCGCGGAAAAAAAACCAAAATATGCCGAGGCTCGAGTGTTATTGGCCTCTATTGCGATCTTTGTTGGAACAACAAAGCCCCTCAGTGCAAGAAGCATTTTGGACCGCGTGCATGGCCCGTTAGGTGTTAGTCACAGTTGGTTTGCTTCAGAAATTGCTTCTTTTTTTTATTTATTTATTTACGCCCGGAAGACGCACCCCACCCCCCTCCTCACTAACAAGCCACTCTGGAGTTGCTTGATTGTCGGGGCTTATAAAGAGTCCAGCAGGCAAACAAAGCCTGCCTCCCTTTATCTCTCCTTACTGATAGCCGCTCTGTGCTCCCCGTGCGGGCCGCCATTGACCCCAGCCTTCAAGAAAGGAAGCGCGGAACAAACAGAGCAGTGACAATAGAGTTTTTACTTTTTTTTTCGCTAAACCTGTGGCGACGTTYGTTTGATACAGCAAGGTCTGCTGAGCACCAGTCAGCCTTAGCTAAGCCTGGCCTCTGATATGAAGCTTTATCCTTCAGGGTTTCATTCACGAGTCACAGAAAGGGTTACATAACTCTTTATTTTTGTATTTTTTTTCCAAACACATGTCTTCCAAGAATGAATAAGGGTCATGTGTAAACTTCCCTCCCAGCCTCACACAATCTCTTCTAATGAAGTTCTGTGTCTCCCACGCCTGCCACGGCTCACAGATACCCAGCGTGCCTTGCAGGCGGTGGAGCGTCTCCAGGCCAAACTGAAGGAGCGGGGGGAGGTGCCCACCGAGGAGAAGCTCAGCCTGCTCAAATCGGTGCTTCAGAGTCCCCTGTTCCACCAGATCCTGGCCTTGCAGAAGTCCGTCCAGCAGCTCAAAGACCAGGTTTGATGTCTTTATTTACGTCGGGTCAAAGGCTGTTTGTGTTCGTTGGTCACCTCACAAACCTCTGGGTGGATTTGAAGGAAATTCTCAGAAAGTAATTACTGTTTGTGCATCTGCTGCTGATTATCTTTTGGAGTTAGCCCAGTTCAAGATGACTGCCACAGTCACCTGACCTTAGAAATCACAGAAATGGCTTTAACGGCCATTTTTTCCAAACTTTAGGCTAAAATTTGGTGTGCTGGTAATTGAGTCATCCACACATACTCTAAGCTGTAACAGCTTTAAAGGGGCAATATCATGTAAAATCAATTTTTTTGAGTTTTATATCATGTTATAATGTTATACTCTCATAAAAACATGCCCAAAGCCTTGCTTTGAATCATTCATGCATGTTTGAGAAAACCTGCAGTGTTTTTAGGAAGCCATGCTGAGGAGCAAAACGACAGGTGGGGACCAGAAATGCCTTTTGGTACCAGAAATGCCCCTGGGACGTGTGTTTAAGCTGAACTTCCTTATGACAGAGCCCCCCTCTCCCCCTCCCCACACACCCCGCCCATGACTCCTGCAGGCTCTCGGCAGTAACAACGGGTGAAACTGAAAGTGAAACTGAAACTGTCTGCTGAGCTCCAATACTTCTCACTCAGTGAAGCTCTTCAGATTCAAAATACCTTTGAGGAAATGTATTTTCAGATGCCAAATAAACTGCATCATAGCGCTGAAATGGGTGGGACAGAAGCAGAAGGTGGTTCTTAAAGAGACAGAGGCCAGTTTCAAGGCGTTTAGAAGAGGAAGTGATGAGA